TGATGCTCTTTGCTGGGGAATTGGTTATTTCTGGGCTGAGTTTGGGATTTGCGTGCGGAGCGAGGTGAAACACCGCAGTTTCCTCTTGCCCCCTCCATATTCCCAAGGTCTGGGATTTGCTGCATTTTTTCTCCCTGTCCGAATTGCTTCTAGCTCGATTTGAGGAGATATTCCCTAGAAATATCCTCGATATGTCTGGCGGAGTGTGGGGCTTCATGGAAAGAATCATCCCTCAAACTGAGCTCAGGATAGAGCAGAGTTGGGACTCATGCGAAAGCATTCACTAATTTTTGTTTATTCTTCCTTTCCCAGGGATTTGAAAATAATCAAAACAAAAGGAAAATATAATAAATTCAATAAGAAGAAAAGAGGGGGGGAAATAGAGGGAAAATATAGCGGCATTATTTTCGTATAGAGATGGAAAAAAAAGGAGCCTCCTCGGTTTGAAATGGAAATGCCGCGAGCTGTATTTTCCACCTCAGCCGGATGATTTCTAATCCAGGTGAAAAATAAAACCGCCAGCCTACATTTGTGGCAATGTGACCACTTTGCTCCCCAAAGACTTTTTATTTTTGCAGATCGCCTCCCTTTCGGGACCCCCCTCACTCCTTCAGGTACACATTTCTACCTTGTCCCAAGGTTTTTGGGGGAAAAATTATTTGTGAAATCCGCAAAATATGTGAAACCGCCATGATTTATCACTGGTTGCTTGATGCCAGCCTGTAGAAATGCAGAGAAAACGGGAGTTCTTGGGGCAACGGGTAGAGAAGACGAATGACTTTAATAAGAATATCTTTTTTAATTCATCTGGAAGACCAAATGGCGAGCGCCTTCCTGCAAGTCCATTCATTGATTGTCAATAAACAGACGCATTAAATATTCAATGTGCCACTCTTCCATAATAAATATTTAACAAAACATTCAAGGGGAGCTTTCTACTATTTATTAGGTGGGGACTTAATTCATTTTCTCTATTCCTTGATATATCGCTAATTCAATATATATTAAATAATACACACAAAAAAAAACATTAAACCCGGGCCTGCGTTGGAAATAACTTGAAAGTTTGAAACTTTGCACGATCCTCCCCTCCTCCCTCACTAAAGACACCCACACAAACTGTCATTGCCTAAATGGTATATTCTCTATAAACCCTGCCAAGCTGCTTGATGTATAGGGGATGTGCACATAGAGCTCGACGTAATTAGCGGATGGTAGAAGCTTGTTAATTAGCACCAGCCCCCTCGCTCCCCGAACGAGAGATAGAGACTCGCTCCTAATTTTGCGGCGCAGCTGTACGGGGGGCTGCGCGTTTCCCCACTGCAGCGAGGATTCCCGAAATGTTGGAAAACTTACTTCGCATTCTCCAGCGGTATTTTTATTCCCTGGGATTTAAATGAACATGTCTAAGATAGGACTAGGATAGAAAGAAGAGTGAGAATGAATTATAAGAATAGCGGTAATTATGATGATGATGATGATGAAGAGGGAAAAAAAAAAAGGTGGAAAGATACAGTTCTAGAGCCCATAAGACCCTCCCTCTTTCCCCTCCTCTCCCCTCCCCGACTTCGAATCGCCCCCTCCCCGTAGTCAAATCTTCGACCAAGAGAAAAAAAAAAAAAAGATGGAAAAAAAAAAAAAACACAAAAAAGCAAAACCCAAAAAGGAAGGGGGTGGAAAAAGGAGAAAAAAAAAAAAAAAAAAAAGCAACTTCACAAGCCGCCCCTTGGACTTGTCCTGCTCTGAGCGCTTGCAAGGGGTGTGCCTTCGGGAAAATGCATACAAATCTGCGATTGATTTTCATAATGTTTCTGCGGTGTTGGCACACCAATCGTTTGAACCTCTGCGCTCCTACCTAAGTGAACCACTCCTACGCATCTAAGTGCTCCAAACTGATATATGACAATATCTACTTTGGATCACGTGGCCGCCGGAGCGACTAAGACGGATAGCGCGTCATCTCGCCTTCCCAAATTTTTTCCCCTCCGCACATCGGCTCCCAAAACCTTCCAGCCCGGAGGAGCGCGGGAATTAAAAATATATATATATATATATAAGGAGGAAAAAAAATGTTTAACTCGGTGAATCTGGGCAACTTCTGCTCGCAGTCGCGCAAAGAGCGGAGCGCCGAATTTGGCGAGCGGGCAGGTTGCGCCTCCAACCTCTACCTCCCCAGCTGCACCTATTACGTCCCTGAATTCTCCACCGTGTCCTCCTTCCTGCCACAGGCCCCCTCTCGCCAAATCTCCTACCCGTACTCCGCCAACCTCTCGCAAGTGCCGCCCGTGCGGGAGGTCTCCTACGGGCTCGAGCCCTCGAGCAAGTGGCACCCGCGCGGCAATTACGCGGCGTGCTACTCCGCGGAGGAGCTGATGCACAGGGAGTGCCTCCCGCCCGCCACCATGAGCGACATGCTAATGAAAAACGAGAGCGGCTACCACCACCACCACCACCATCATCATCATCACCCCAGCTCCAACCACCCGGCCCCGGCGGGGTTCTACGGCGGCATGAGCAAAAACACCGTCCTGCCGCAGGCTTTCGACCGCTTCTTCGACAACGCCTATTGCGGAGCCGACCCCCCCGCCGAGAGCTGCCTGCAGAAAACCGAGGGCAAACTGGAGCCCCAAGCGCAAGCCCAAGAGCTGGCAGCCCGCGGCGAACCCGGGCTGGACCCGGAAGACGAAGAGGAGAACACGAACCCCGGCTCTTCAGCCTCATCCTCCTCAGTCAACAAGGAGAGCGGCAAAAGCGGCGGCGCGAGTAGGTAGAGCAGTAAACGTTGCTTTGCGGCGGAAAGGATAAAAAAAAAAGGAAAAAAAAAAGAGGTTAAGGGGACTAGCCGGCGTGTTTTGTCGGTCAAATTTTATGTGGAGTTTTATAAGCATTCAAAGGATTTTATTATAACCTCCAAAGCGCTTTCTTCCAAACGAGAAGCCTTTTTTTTTCCCCTCTTTCTTTTTACGATGGGAAAAAAAAAGAGTCTTGGAGAAGAAGAAGGAGGGGGGGAGGAAAAAAATGGAGATGTTAGGCGCAGGCACGGTGTCTTGGAGTCTGTGAAATTTTAAAAGCGCCAGCGTCGCGGCAAATATTAACTTTGATCATGAACTTAGGCGAGCGTTTTAAAAGGGTTTGGTCCCGGGTTGCCGAGGGTAAAAGGCAATTGGGCAGAACACTACTTAGGCTGCCTGTGCTGGCTTTTAGGCACTAAAGATGCATGCAGAGGGGGCTTTTTTATTATTTCTAATTAAAAGTGCATGTCGAGTCTTTGCTCTTGCTGGGGGTGCTGTGCTAAGAGTGCAAAGCTGGGGGGGAAAGATGTCGGCTTTTCCTCCGCAGATTGGGCATTTTCGGAGGTTTCCCTTTCAAAAGTGGCATTTCTTTCCCTCTAAGCTTAGCGGAGAGTCCAGCTTTTGTCAGGAGGGGCTTCGCCTTGAGTGGCTCTTTGCACGGGGCTCCTCGGTATTTTTGATTGCATGCACTCACATTTCCAGGGCAGCCTTAGAGGAGAGGTGCAAAAGCTGAATCTAGGCAACTTTGCGAGAATGGAGCTCTTTTTTGGGGGGCGCAGAGGGGAGGGTGGGTTTGTTTCCTTATTTGCCTCCGCAAAAGCCCCCCTCCCCTTTCTTTTTGCAGCTCAGAGGCCAAATTCTCTTTGATTTTGATTCCTTTTTGCGTGTGTGGCGAGGGCTGGAGTTAATCAAAAACTTGTGCGGAACATCATATCTAGTGCCTGTAATTCCTCCGTTGCTCATGCTGGTTTTCTACAGATAACAGATTTGCAGCTGAGCGGGTGTATATATACATATATATGTATTTCCATCCATCGCTCCAAAAGGCTGCTTAAATATTCCCACTGCCTCTTTGAAAATAACAGAGCTGCCCTTAAAACGAGGGTCTTGGGCAGCGAGGGGGTCTAAACCCTATGTAGTGGGGAGAAATCATTGCAATATGAGGCTCAATCTATAAGACCCTGGGTATAGAGCCCCCATAGGCAAAGAGCTCCGTGCTCGCAGATATGTGCCCCTGCATTAATACCTAACTGCGCCCCAATCTGAGGGATCATCCGGGAAGATGGAGCCTCTGCTTTGCCTTTTCTTAGCTTATTTATCCTGCTTTCTGGTTCTTTGAAGGTGCTCCCAGAACAAGGAAGAAGAGATGCCCCTATTCGAAATTCCAGATCCGGGAGCTGGAGCGTGAATTCTTCTTCAATGTCTATATCAACAAAGAGAAAAGGCTCCAGTTGTCCAGGATGCTAAACCTCACTGACCGACAGGTTAAAATTTGGTTCCAGAACAGAAGGATGAAAGAAAAAAAATTAAGCAGAGACCGTCTGCAGTATTTCTCGGGGAATCCCTTGTTGTGAACAGCTTTTTAAATCTCCTCTACTGGCGAGGTGTATGTGTCTGGAGGAAGAAGGGACAGTTGCGATCATGGGTTTGCTCTTCGAGTCGACAAAGCAACCTCAAAGTTTAAACCTTTTCGTTACTTCTGTTTGTATGTGCGGGACAGTCCTGAGGGACAAAAGGAGGGAAATATCCTTGCAGGCACCCAACCGTTGTAAGGACTTGAAATCCACGGACATTTTATTTAACTTTTTTGTTGTTGTTGTTGTCGTTCTTTTTGTCTAAACAGTTTGGGATTCCTCCTCTTTTTTATTGTTATTATTATTATTTTTATTGTTATTATTATTATTTAGGCAATCCCCCACCATCCCAGTCCGTTTGAGTCGCAGTGCTGGGCATTATTATTTTGGGGATGCAGATGCGTTATCACAGGAGCGGCAAAGTCTCCCTCTAGGAACAGTTCCCTTCATCTGGGGTGAGTGTGTGAGTGTGTGTGAATGCACACGCGGACACGGGTGTCCTTGTGTGTGTGTGTGCGCCTTCACACCCACCCCGCAGGCACTCGTGGCCTCTTGCTCTCCAAGCCAAGGATTGTTGTCGAAACCTAATTTAAATACTCCGTCCTTAACAGGACTGTCATTTCCACCTCCTTCTCCACACCCCCTTCAGATATATATATATATATTCATATCTGTATGTGTGTACATAAGTATGCATATATATATATATATACACACACTATGCAGAAAGATTTTTTTCATTTTGAGTGGGGCGGGGGGGAATCTAGACGAAAATGCATTTGCAATAACTGTTTGTAAATAAAATTCGTAGTATGTTTTTTTTTCTTCTTCTTTTTCTTCCGGAAATGGGAAACGAAGAACACCAGGAGAAAATAACCTTGGAGAAAAGAAAAAAAAATCATAATACAAAAAAAAAATCTTTGTGTATGTAAAGTGAGTCCCCGGGATATTCTGTGAAATTCTGTGGCAAATAAAGACGTTGCAAGCTGTTCTACATTATGATTTTATTTGACCATTTTATTAGCGTTACCCCTCTTAAAAGCCTCTTTGCGGTCACTGTGGTGTGGGCTTTCGTCTCGAGAAGTGGAAATACCTGGGCACGTATCAGCCTTCTCATCATCCATATTCATGCGGACTCGCTCCAAGATGGGCTAAATATGACTGGTATTAATAGGAAACCTCCACCTTGGAGCCCACGTTAGCTGTGGAGTTCATTGTATTCATCATCGGATTGAAATTTATAGGATTTTTCTTGGCCCAGTAATCCTCCTCTGAATTTGGCTCCAGATGGCTTTCTCTGTTTTCCGGTTGTAGTTAATCTTTTGTGCATTTTCAAGAGAACACCACATTAGTATCTTTTTTTTCCTCTCTCTCTCTCTCTTTTTTTTTTCTTTTTATTTTCATGAATGAACCACTAATTGCATCGAGGACCGTGCTGCATTTTCCTAAGTCAAGGATACCCCACCTTATATCCACAAAGCACAAATGCAAAGTCAAGTCCTTAAATTCTTGCCTAAGGAAAACAAGTTCAACTCCCAGGCACAGGGCATAAAACTGATTTTTTTTTACGTTTGCACAATGACTTTTTCCCCCTCTCTCAGTCTATGAAAGAAATAATGTTTTAAAGGAGAAAGAAATGCAGAGGATTGCGTTGGTGATGTGGTGCATGCTTTTTTGTGTGTAAATACAGTGTTTTGGAGGGCTGTTTGCGGGGCTTTTGCAGGGGTAGGTTTGGGGTTTTGCAATCTGAGCGCTTTCCGATGTAGAGCAATGGGATTTTGCATATGGACGAGGTGGGGGGAGAAGGGAGGAAGGGAGGGGAGAAACAGCAGCAGAGAAACAACACATTATATTTTCATCCATTGAGCGTGTTCTTGTAAAATTCTCATGCTTGCTTTTAAATACAAAAGGCGAACGCTTTGATGGTGTCTTCTGATTTTATTTGACAACGGCGGGGGAAAAAAAATGCGATCCCGCAAAAATGCTCCTCGTATGCTCCCACACAAGCGCCGGGCAAAGCAATGAGAAGCATCGAGGCTTTCGTGATAGCCCCGAAATGCTCTGGAAAGGATGTTCACAGGCATGTTTCTCATTAGGGGAGTGGGAAATGGGGGTAGAGAAAGAGGGGAGGGAGAAAAGAAAAGGGGGGATGCATTGCAAAGCGCGGCTTTATTATTATTTCGTCGCTATTTATTTTTGCAAACCTTTCCATCTCAAAAGACGTTTGTCCGCGGCCTAATATCCCGCCGGAGCTCTGCCGTTTGCATAAACTGGCCCTGAAAGCAGAGCGGGGGGCGCTTTGCAGAGGTGCAAGGGGCTTTTCTGAGCTGCATTAAAAAAAAAAAGACAGAGAGAGAAAAGGAAAAAAAGATCAGAATAGACAAGATGTGCTTAAAAGGAGCCATCTTCCGCGCAGATGTCGCGGGGTCTCGCTGCACTCCGTGACCAGCCGGGGGTGGTGGTGGGGGGAAAGCAGAGAGAAAGGGAGGGAAAAATAGAAAATCACCTTTCTTTAATAAGTGTTTGCCAAACCTTCCCAAGGTTAGGAAAACTGGAGAGAGGTGCAATAAGGTGAATATCACGAGGTCAGGCACGGCAGTTAATGCTCCGTAACAGCAGCGGCTGCCCGGACAAAAGCGCCTAGTCTAGACATTGTAATAAAGACTGCAGCACTAAACAGCTTAATTTTTCTTAATTACCCCGTCTGGCTAAAGGGAAAAAGACTTCCGCAGTAAATAGTAAACAAATAAGGGAGCCTTGCCCAGATTTTTTTTTTACCCCTCCCTCTTCTCCTTCCCCCCCTCGCCCTCTCCTCTCCAAGTAAGTCTTCGGTTCAACTGCAGCACAATGAAACTGGAGGCCTAGTTCAAAGTTTTCGCGAGCTAAAATGGAATGCCAGTTGTAAAACCCAAGTTTATAGACCATGTGGGAGTTTACAGCAGCATTAAGCATCAGGGCCGTGTAGGAAAAGGGCTGTTAATGTTCTGCGGAGGGTGCGGGGGGAGTGCGATATGGCGGAGGAAGGGGGGGTCGGGCAAGATGCTTTGGGTACCACCAGGGTGAACAAGTGGAATAATAATAAAAAGGTTTATCCATCTCTATCTCGCTCTACAGGCACCCATAGGGTGGGAGAGAAGGTGTGGAGCGAGGGGAGGGTCCGGCCTAAGGTTTTTGGAAAAACTCCCCAAAATTACCCCGGCGAACGGGGTTTCCGCAGGCCACCTGGGGAAGGCGAGCCCCGCAGGAAGGAAAAATGTGAATATATGATGTCTTTGAACTTCAATAAAGTCAAGTCCATCACCTTTAACCCTTTTGTAATAAAGCGGGATGGGAGCGGGTGCCCGCGGCCGCCCCGCCTCCAGGGAGCCCGTGGGAGGGTGGTGGGCGCGGGGACGGGAAGGGGACCCATATTTTTCCCCCCGAGAGGAAATAAAAAAAATCACCAAAAAAGGACCGAGAAAAAAAAAAATAAAAGAAAAAAAAATATTTTGCACCCCAGGCAGAGTTTATGATGTTTCATACTTAAGCCAGTCGCGCCGCCTCTCGTGCCTTTTCCAGGAAGGCTGCGCACCCTTTAGTAGCATTATAAACCTCTCGCTATCTCAAGGCGTGGAAAGTTTTTATAACTTTTTTGGCATTAGGGAAAAAAAAAAAAACTTGTACACTTTTTTTTTTCCTTCCTTGATTTCCAGCGCGCATTTAGGGCTTTTCCAGTGCGCAACTTTCCGCCCTGCCGCTCATGTCCGTCCCAACGAAGCCTCCCTCATAGGCTGGGATCCCCGCTCGGTGCCGACGTTAATGACACACAGACTAATTGTGGAGGACCTTTCGGCGTGACGTACCAACACCCCAAGCCAACCTGTTTCCCATTCCTCCCTGGATTGCCGAGCCAACATCTTGGAAGCAGCTCGGGGCTACTTTGTTGTGAAATATTGCCCGGGAGGGGGAAAGGAGGAGAAGTAGGGGGGGCACACGCTTCTAATTGGCTTCTTGTGGGATAATCATGTTCACCGATGTTGGCTTGCATGCAGAGCATCTCCCCTTTTGCAGAAAATGTTTTTTTTTTTCCCCTTTTTTTTTTCTTGGAAAGGGTAAATAGAAACGTGGGGAGATTGCAGGATGGGGAAATGCTGGAATAAAGTGGCCGGACTTGCTCGTTGGGGAGGACAGGACTGCACCACGCACCCACCCGGACTCACTCGGGGGGCGCAGAGGGGTCCTGCAGACTCAACCTCCTCCTCGGTGGCTTGTAAATAACCAACTTGAGCTGCACAACTCAGCGAGAGCGGCACACAATGGGGGGAAATCCAGCCTTTTAAAAGGTTTATTTATTTATTTTCGACTTATTTTTCCACTTTTCCACCTGGCCTTTTTGACGTCGGGCTCGGAGCTTGGCAGAGCGGGGAGTACAAAATGCCGAGAAGAAAGCCCGTGGTTTTGGCAAGCGGACTCGAGTCGACCAGCAATTGAGCTAATCCGCGTCTGTGGAGCCCCGGGTGAATTCATTTATTTGTGTGAGAGTAACTTTGGGGGGATTTTATTAAGAGGATCCTTCGCCGGGCCCGGTGGAGAGGAAACAGCAGCAGCAGCCCCCAATTCTGGGGGTTCCCCCCTCCTCGGTGGCCTCTAATGTGGGCGACAGGCGATTCAATTCGGCCTCCTGAAGCCCCTGGCCGCTTTTCCGCAGAGAATTGTCAGACGAATGAGAGTAGGAGCAGGAAAAAAAAAAAAGAAAGAAAGAAAAAGGAAAAGGAAAAGGGGGGAAATGCGGAAAAAAAAAGGAATAAGGGCAAAATCTAGGGAGAAATGACTGCAGATTTGAGGCAAACTCTCTTAAAAAAAGGCCTCAAAATACCCCAATAAAACTCAAAATATGCGAGAAGCAGTGTGTGCTGCCGGCGGTCGGGGTTGCCCCTCCGCTGCCTGGGCAGAAATTAAAATATATTAAAGATGACTTAGATAATTTTGCCCCAAAATGGCGGCCCATTAAGGCCTTTGCT